CTATCCCGTGCCCCGCTCCGCTGGACCCTCTCCAGTAGCTCCTCATCTTTCTTGAGCTGGGGAGCCCAGAACTGGACACAGATGACTGCAAGTAACCAAGTACTTGGAGCTACTCATCTGCTGCACTGGGGTGTTCGACAACGCGAGGAAAAGGGGCTGAAACGAGGCAGCGGCTAAGAAGCTGCCTGCAGGGCGACCCACCCATCTCCCCACCTCAGCCAGGTCTGCTGCTGTCAGCCAAAGCACAACCAGGCTGGCAGCAGCGCTTGCCTGTCTCGCTGCATCCTCCCCTCCTGACCCAGCGGGATCACACCGACCAGCGTCCCAGCCACGGAGCGAGCCGCCCTCCCAGGAACCCCCTGACATGAGGCCGAGAGCGCTCACCGCTCAGCTCCGGGGGAGGATAGAGGTGGTACGTGCTGTAAATGTCATTGCTCATCTGCAGCTCCAGCTTTGTGTGCTTCTTCAGCAGGTCCACGACCTTCTCCTCCTGGAAGGGAGTCTTTTCCAGGATGACTACGGCGTCTGTCCCCTCTCCAGAGGCGCTGGTCACCTGGAATCAGAACGGATAAAGCCATCAGCAAACACAGAGCCAGCACTGGCTGGAGGGTTTGAGGCTCCCTCCCTCCACCCAGGGACCGTGGCAGACACCTTGCAGCCCCCCCCAGCTCTCATGCGCAAACCCCCTCCCCAGCTCAGCCACCCACTGGGCAGCACCCATCCAAAAACAAAGGCACCCTTGCCCCGAAGCACAGCAGGAACCTGCTTCCCATCAGGGAACACAGGCGGTTTTCTGGGGGAAGCACGAGATGCAGACAACACCTCAGCCTGTCTGCACCTCCACAGACACTCCCAGCGTCCACAGCTGCATTCCCCACGGACCCACATCACCGATTTCATCTCAGATACTGACACTTCGACACGGGGCCACGGACCGGGCGGTCGGAGGGTCAGGAAGAGGGCAGCAGCAGGTGGAGGGGATTGAGTCACAGTCAGGGAGCAAGCCTAGGCTGTTTCGGGGCAGGGAGCGCTGCTGCCCTGCCCCAAGGCACCACAACCCAGACCTGCACATGCTGGTTTTAGGAGGTGCAGGGCGCAGAGCACACCCCCGAATTGCTCCCGTTCATACAGGACCCTGAAAGCTGCCCAGGAAAAGCAAAGGCAGGTGGGTTCCGGGCTCCCAACCCAGCCATGCTCATAGGGTAAAGCAGGCAGGCTTGCGCCCAGCTCGGTTACCCATCAACCCATCGCCCCGAGACCGAAGCGGCAGATTTGAAGCTCCCCCATCCTCTTCGCCTGCTGGGACGCACACCTCCAGGACACAGAACCTGAGGTGGCTGCCCTGCTCCCACGCCACAAAGTTTAAAGAATTGTTACAAATTTCCCTTTTATGGCGCAGGACTGACATGGCTATCACCGACAGCAGCGCGTCCAGGCGGGGCTGGAATATCTCCAGAGAAGGAGACTCCACAGCCTCCCTGGGCACCCTGGGCCAGGGCTCCGTCACCCTCAGAGGGAAGAAGTTCTTCCTCATGTTCAGCTGGAGCTTCCTCTGCTTCAGTTTGTGCCCGTTGCCCCTTGGCCTGTCGCTGGGCACCACTGGAAAGAGTCTGGCCCCATCCTCCTGACACCCACCCTGCAGATATTTA